TTGCCTGAGCCCGCGGGTTCGAGACCCACCTGGGCAGGCGAGACCTCATCTCTACAATAAAATCAAAAAATTAGCCGGGCGTGGTAGCTCATGCCTGTAATTCCGGCTACTCGGAAGGTTGAGGCGGAAGGATCGCCGGAGCCCAGCAGGTCGAGACTGTGGTGGCTGGGAGCGGCCACTGCACTCCAGTCTGGGTGACAGAGTGAGACTCCAACTCAAAAAAAAAAAGAAAAGAAAAGAAAACTAGGAGACACAGAAATCAACTGTAGCAAATGCTGCCAACAAGTCCAGAAAATGAGAACTGGGAACTACCAGATTTGGCAAGGCAGAGTCTATTGTGGGCCTCCATAACAGCAATTTTGTGAAGTGTAGGGCAGAAGCTTGACCATCATGGGTTCAAGAGAAAAACTAGAGCAAGAAACTGAAGCTAGCCAGTAAAAACAATTCTTTTAAGATGTTTTATTATGAAGGAGAGAAATGGGGAAGTAGCTGGAAGGTTAAGGTGGGTCAAAAGAGTACCTTTCGGCCGGGCTCGGAGGCTCAGTCTGTAATTCCAGCACTTTGGGAGACCACACCAAGTGGATTGCCTGAGCCTGAGGGTTTGAGACCAGCCCCGGCAACTTGGTGAGAACTCGACTCTACAATAAATCAAAAAAATTAGCGGGGCATGGTAGCGCGCACCTGTAGTTCTGGCAACTTGGAAGGCTGAGGCAGAATGATCAACGGAGCCCAGTAGGCCAACGCTGGGGTGGCTGTGAGTGTGCCACTGCACCCTAGCATGGGCATCAGAGTGAGACTCCACCTCAAAAAAAAAAAGAGTACCTTTCAAAGGTGGAGGAAATAACATGTTTATATGCTGATGGGAAAGGATCTAATAAGGAAGTAATAATGAAGATGAGAAGCAAAAAGGGGAAATTGCTATGACAGTCCTTGGGTGGGTGAGTAGAGACAGGACCTATGACACAAGGGTTGGCCTTAAAACCAAAGTGAGGTGACATGACATTACACCGTGTGTGTGTGCGTGTGTGTGTGTGTGTTTCTAATTATCATTAGCTGTCTGGGGTCAGAGATGGAGTAAGTAGACTTGAATTTAATCAAAGTTGATATTCTGTCAAGTGAGTAAGACAGAGGGAGAGAGGGTTAAGAAATCTGCAACGTATTCATTACAGCAATGGGCCACAGAATCTGACCTGGATAAGAAGAGGGACAGAGAAAAAATGTCAGATTTAAGGGTGGTATGATCATTGGCTACAGATCCCTTTGGAAATAGAAGTGCTGTGTGGCGTGAACTGAAAAAGAAGAGGTGGTAGGTAGACAGTAGAATGTTTCCAACTGAAGCCATGGAAGGGGTACAGTTATTGGTAATGTGAGGTCTAAGGTATGACCAAAAGAGCAGTAGCAAACATAGAGTGGACGAGATCTCTAGAAGAGAGGAGGTACAGCGAATCAGAACTGAATAATACAGATATTAAAATCGCTAACCACTGGATATAAATCATAGCTCACTGTAGCCTCAAACTTCCGGGCTCACGTGATCTTCCAGCCTCAGCTTCTTAAGTAGCTGGGACTTCAGGTGCATGCCACCATGCCAGACTAGCCTTTTTAAAATTATTATTTGTAGGGATGGGGTCTCAGTGTGTTACCTAGGCTAGTTTGAACTCCTGGCCTCAAGTGATCCGCTCACCTCAGCCTCCCAAAGTGCTAGGATTACACCCAGAACTATTTTTAACAAAATTCTTAGTGAATAATGCTGCTATAAATATGGGTGTACAAGTATCTCTATGAGACCCTGCATTCATTCTTTGGGGTATGTACCCAGAAGAAGAATTGCTGGGTCATATGGTAATTCTATTTTTAATTTTTTGAGGCACTGCCATGCTGCTTTCACAGCAGTTGCATCATTTTGCATTCCCACTAACAGTGCGCAAGGGGTCCAATCTCTCCACAACCTCAACAACACTTTGGGTTTTCTCCTTTTTTTTATAGCAGCCACCCTAATGGATATGAGGTGTTATCTCACAGTTTTGATTGCATTTCCCTCGTGATTAGTTATGTGGAGCATCTTTTCTCGTGCTTACTGGCTATTAGACAAATTCTACCAGTAAAACTGTCGTGGAGGTGGGGAAATAGAATCCTGGTCCTTCCTACTTGGACATCTTCCCAGAATCCTATTTTGGCCCCTTTTTTTTGAGAAAGCATGATTTATTGAGAGGACAGAAAAGCTCCCACAGTGGAAGGGGACCCGAAGCGGTTGCCTTGGCTCATTTTTAACCCAATATTTTATTTGCCCTTTGGTACCTCTTGCTTGCTAATTTGATGAGCTGCAACTCCTGCAAAAGTTAGAATTTATAGGACTGACCAAACAATAGTCTGTTTTAAAGTAACCACTCAGCATTTTTCATTGGTCTGAATGGCTTACAATTTTTCTAAGAGCTGACTACTTTTAGCTAAAATTTGTCCGCAACTATCTAGAAATGATTTATGCTCAATTTGATAAACAATATTTGCTCTGAAACATACTAGCTATTTCCCTTCTCTCTCTATTAGAGTAATGATATACTCTGAAAGTGCTTTGTATAGGTAAGCATCCATCCGATTTCTCTTTTTATCCTACTCTTCTCTTTATATCTCTGAGAAATTACTTTTGGGATCCAAAACAATAGAAATGTATTATTCTACAGATCTAGAGAGAAGAAGTCTGACATCAAGGTGTCGACAGTGTAATATTTACGCTGGACACTCAAGGGTGAAATATATTTCTTGCCTTTTCCAACTTCTGCTGGTTGTGGGCTCTCACTGTGGCTGCATCACTCCAGTCTCTGCCTCTGTCTGCACGTGACGTTCTCTTTCAGGTCTTCTATTCTGTCTTTTGCAAGAACACACGTCACTAGATTTAGGGCCTACCTGGGTCATCCTGGGTGACCTCATCTCAAGATCTCTGACTTAATTATATCTACAAAGGCATTTTGTTCCATATAAGGTAAAGTTTCTCTAAGAAATTTTAAATGCCTTCCTCTATCACACAGGAGTTGGTAACAAGTATGACTTACCACACATCTGGGGTGACAGTGTCATTCTGGGCTCGCCAAGTATGGGTTTCATAAATAGCTTCTCCATTGACTTTTAGCCAAGACCCTATTTGCCTTAATCGCTCCTCAAAAATTGCAGAAATGGTGCCATCTAGGGTGGGTCCAATATTCATCAAAAGATTTCCTCCACACGAAACTGTTTCTACAAGTTGCTAAAACATTAAGAACAAATGTAGTTCTTAGATAGATAAAACAACTCCCTCTTTGATGTGTTAATACATTGTATTTACATATTTATATATGTATATGTAATCTCCATCTAGAAGAACAAACACAGAGAACAGAAAAATTCCCTGTGTTTATAGGCCATTGAGCGATACAAATTATAAGAAATATTTCCCACACCACCACACTGTTAAGATTATCACAATATTAGCCACCAGACATTTTACTGTACCTTCACCAATTCTTCAATTGTAAGATAGTCAGAGATTCCAGCATTCCTCCTATAGCCCCAGGACAACTTGTCGATTGTCATGCAGTTTTCCCATTTATGTGGCAAAAGATGTCCTGGGTTATAACGATCACTGCAGGTATAGTAGCCACCATGCTTACAGATGCTACCAACTCCCCAACGATCATTGGTGACTACTGTGTCCCGAACCGGGCTGAGATGAAAAGCATAATTTTTTGAAACAAAAGAAGTATTCATTATTTATACAAAAGGAAATGTCACTGAAAAGAATTTAACTGAAATACACCCCTAAAAAGGGACCATGGCACAATACTGTGAAAAGCCCATGGTTTTGAAGTCAAATAGACCTGAGTTGATTGGCATCCTGGCTTTGTCATTTTCTAGCTCCCAGATCTAGAGCAAGTTACCTAACTCCTCTGAATAATGAACTTACTCATCCAGTATTAGAATAAAAATAATTTATGTAAAACAATTCAGTGTTTAGCACATATAAGAGTATTATGTTATTATCTGAAGCTCCCCCATGTTGCGAATGGTAGCCAAAACTGAATTTATATTCAAGACACTTTTCTCTCCAATGACTGAGTCATCTCATACATATATTCTAGTCCTTCTCTCATAATTGTGTCTCAAATTGGAAATTTTCAGAAAAACCAACTATGGATATTATATGAAATATTCCCACAATATTACTTATCATAGCAGGTGGCACAGTTAGAGAGGACCCCACTACACTGAGAAGGGACAGTTTTGAATCACAGATTGAAGTGGACGGCTCCCCGTCTTTTCCCTTGGAAAGACTATCTGGAGACACTGCTTTGTGAAGTATCAAGATTTCCCCAGAATACTTATATATCTGCCCTTTGTGGGCCCAGGAAACATGTAGAAGGCTGCCCAAGTCACAGCACATGCCCAGTGCTTGCTAGGACAAATGTCTATGTGGTCCATAGAGTTTAGGCTCAATGGAGGAGTTCAATCAGAACACCCTGCTCTAATGGGGCAAACTTGAACATGCCAGAAAGGAACGGGAAAGTACAGGAAGTGAGAATGCGGCCATTGAAGGAAAAGAGAGACAGACAAGGGTGATGTTGACTGGGTAGCAAAGATTACCCAAAACGTAAGAGGATAAAAAGGAGCAAGTGAAGGATTGAAAAGCATATAGTCAGAAACAGTGATGAATGGCCAGAGGCAGTGGCTCACACATGTATTCCCAGCACTTTGGGAGACTGAGGCAGGAGGACTGCTTGGGCCCAAGAGTTCAAGACCAGCCTGGGCAACACAGCAAGACCTTGTCTCTCAAAAAATCAAAAAATTAGCCAGCATGGTGGCACATGCCTGTAGTCCCAGCTACTAAGGAGGCTGAGGCAGAAGGATCACCCAGGCCCAAGAGAGAAGCTACAGTGAGCCATGACTGTGTCACTGTATTCCAGCCGGGTGACAGAATGAGATTTCAACTCAAAAAAAAGAAAGCCCAGGTGTGGTGGCTCATGCCTATAATGCCAGCACTTTGGGAGGCTGAGGTGAGAGGACTGCCTGAGCCTAGGGGTTTGAGACCAGCCTGGGCAGGTTGGTGAGACCTCGTCTCTACAATCAATTCAAAAAAAAAATTAGCCGGGCACGGTGGTGTGTGTCTGCAGTTCCAGCTACTTGGAAGGTTGAGGCAGAAGGATTGCCTAGGTCCAGCAGTTCGATGCTGTGGTGGCCATGAGCGTGTCACTGCTCTCCAACCTGGGCAACAGAGTGAGATTCTAACTCAAAAAAAATAAAAAGAGAAAGACCTAGAGAAAGAAATAGTGATGAATAAACAGAACTGTCTTAGTATAAGACCAAAAAAGAACAGAATAGGACATAAAAAGGGGGACCCACAAAATTACTACTTTCAAAGTTCTTGATACTGTGACTTTTAGTTTGATTTCAAATTCATACTATGTATTGGGTTGAATTTTACTCCTGGTTTGTTTAATCTTGATTATTTTGAGTAAATATTGATATATCTAACAACCATTATTTAGGACGATTTCCTCTCCCCCATACCACCAATGAACCTAAGAGGAAATACTTCAAGAAGCAAGGGGATGGGAGTGCTGTAAGTATGTTAGGAATGTGCAAGGCCACTGCCGCAATCCCACAGCATACACACCTTTCGTTATACAGCCAGGCCAAGAAACCTGTGCTGTTCCAGTAGTAATCCGGCGCGTCCCCATCACCATCCGACCACAGCACCTCAGGCCGATACCTGTTCACTAATTCATAGAGCTCGGGCAACGTCTTAGACACTGGAAACTGTCGCCTACGGAATGAGCTGGATTTATCCTTAAGGAAGAGTGGATGAAACCATTCAAAAAGGGAATAGTACAGTCCAAAATGCAGGCCAGTTCTGTTCCTAATGGCAACCTCAAGTTCCTTGACAATGTCCCTCTTGGGCCCCTCATCAATGGCATTCCAGTTCCACGAATACTTGGAACCCCACAATGTAAAGCCTGAAAAATTACAGTAAAAACTGTGGTAAGCATTCCACCCATATAAATGCCAAAACAAATCAGACAGCAAATGGGAGATATATATAAATATATATCAGTTTCTACAAACGACTGCTTTATGGCAAATTTTTCATAGCATATATTCTACTTTTATACAAAAAACAAATGAGAATTTAAACAAGGTGGGACAGAGGTTTTTATTTTTTACTTTTTTGATTCAGGGTCTCTCTCTGTTGCTCAGGCTAGAATACAGTGGCATGATTGTAGCTCACCACAACCTCAAACTCCTGGGCTCAAGTAATCCTCCAGCTTTAGCCTCCTGAGTAGCTGAAACAACAGAAGTGCACCATACACCTGGTTTCTCTCTCTCTCGCTCTCTCTTTCTCTACCCCTAGAGATGAAGTCTCACTGTTTGCACAAGGTCTCAAACTTCTGGGCTTAAGCAATCCTCTCACCTTGTCACCTTGGTATCTCTAAGTGCTGGGATTACAGACTTGAGCCACCATGCCCGGCCAGACAGAGGTTTTAATTGCAACTTTCAAAGTACAATGGTGAAGTCTACATGATCTGATTTACCTCCGATATTTTCCCTCTTAGACTTCAAGGTCCTTGAGGGATGGCATCATGTCTGTTCCCAGCTATATCCCAGCCACCTGCTAGCACAGGGTGTATAGCACAAAGTCAACAATCAACAAGAGCAGATCATAGCTAAGATGGGAACATCTTTCACATCTGCCATACTAGACAATGGCTGCTACTATTTATAATGAAAATCCTGAAATGCACTGTTACAAGATTCCTCTTGTCTTCTAAACCAAAGTTTAAAGTCTACTGCCTGCTTTTAGGATTATGTATTTTATTACAGCATGATTCTTAGAACACTCATGATCTATCTGTAGTCAATTTCATTTAGCCTGATAACGCATTTAACCAAGAGGTGTGGGAAGAAGACACACTGTTTCCCAGTAGTTCTGTACTTTAAAATATTTTAAACATGTGTAATCTCATCCTACTGTAAAATCATAAACTTGGATGGTTCCTCTTTAATAAAATTCCTCAAAAGTGAATAATCTACCAACAAAATGGGTAAGAAAAAATAATGTGTACCATTATGCAAACACTTTGAAATAATTTATTTTTAACAGGTATTTTCATTTAGATTCTGGTTCTATATAAGAATGTTAGAAAAGATATATAAACTGAAATTCTTAAGAAATCATATAACGCTGGGCTCGGGGGTTCAGCCTATAATTCCAGCACTTTGGGAGGCCAAGGCAAGTGGATTGCCTGAGCCCACGGGTTTGACAACTTCCCGGGCAACTTGGTGAGACCTCATCTCTACAACAAATCAAAAACTAGCCAGGCGTAGTAGCACGCGCCTGTAGTTTCAGCTACTTGGAAGGCTGAGGCGGAAGGACCACTGGAGCCCAGCAGGTCGAGGCTGCGGT